CCGCGCGGTCCCGGGAACAGAAGGGGGCGGGGCTCCCGGCGCGCAGGCGGCGGCTGCAGACGCTCATTGATTCTTTCATTCATCCATTCATGAAGCTTTGTACCAGGTCAAGCCCAAGGCTGGGGATCCAAAAATGAGCTATAATTGATCTGCGTCCTCAAGGAACGAGGGGAAAGGGGCCAGGAGCGGGAAGGAGACGAAATATGCAACTAATGAATAGAACGTCAATGTATGCCTTTGTATTTAGTGCCTGCCAACCCTCACCTAATTCTCACATCACACTTTGGAGGCAAATCTGCTTATTCTCGTGTTACAGATAAGGAGACTGAGTGAAGTGAAATACACCAAGTCACCCAGCAAGTCAGTGATCCAACTAGACGGGATTCAAATTCTGTCTTTCCTGTCCCTTTCCACTGTTTCTGCTCCTTCCAAACAGTAAGACACAGTGTGGAAAGTCATATAAGAGAAGAAGTGATGGATCCTTGTGGGAGAAGGCGGGAACAAAAAAGGCTTCCGGAGGATTCCCCACTGACAATGAAGTCATCATGAATAGCCCAACCCAGCCTGCCTGTGGCCTGGGCAGCCTGACCAGCTGCCTGCAGTGACTCATCTGCTTAGCAACATGTGGCAGTAGCTCAGCCCTGCCTGGCCTCCTTCTGGTTTCAGCTGGTCTGCCACATGTATTTTTCCTCTTTGAGTAGAAACCTCTCCTGAAGACTTCACCCATTTGTCCTGGACCTTCTTCCCAAACTCCTTCTGAGTAGTAATAATATCTAAAATTATGGAGTGCCTACTGGATGTCATGAACTGTGCATTCAATTCACATATATACAAACAAGAGGTAAGTTGTGTTATTTTCATTTTACAGTTGAAGGATAAGGCTCAAGTTACACAATGTGCTCAACACTAGACACTTATAAGTGCAGAGCTAGTACTCCAACAGAGATCTATCAGATACCAGAGCCCACACACATAACTAATGTGCTCTACAGCCTATCAACCGTCTGCTCTTCTATAACCTGTCCCAGTTCCTCACCACCTATCCAGTTGCCTCAACCAGAAACCTGGAAGTCATCTTGTACTGCTTCTCCTCCTTCCTTCGCATCCAATTAATGAATGAGTCTTGTTTCCATAACCTATCTCTCCAATCTGCCTCCTCTTTCCATTCATTGGCCCCACTTCTACTCAAGTCTTATCTTCCCTCACCTACTTGAATGGAAAAATCGTATAACTGGCTCACCTACATCCAGTCTCATTCTCTTCAAACTTGTCCTCCAAAAAAGTCCTCACAAGAATCTTCATATAACATTACTTAAAAGAGTTAAATAAATGTCAAGATAAAGTGTAGGACGGGTGCAGTGGCTGAAGCCTGTAATTCCAGCACTTTGGGAGGCCAGGGTGAGGGGATTGCTGAGCTCATGGGTTAGAGAACAGAAGATAAAGTGTAAGCCGGGCTCGGTGGCTCAGCCTGTAATCCCGCACCTTTGGGAGGCTGAGGTGAGTGGATTGCCTGAGCCTGCGGATTCAAGACCCACCTGGGTAACCTGGTGAGACCTCATCTCTACAATAAATCAAAATGAGCCGGGCGTGGTAGCGCGCACCAATAGTTCCAGCTACTTGGAAGGCTGAGGCAGAAGGATCACCGGGGCCCAGCAGGTCGAGGCTGCGGTGGCCGGGAGCAGCCTCTGCACTCCAGTCTGGGTGAGCGGCCACTGCACTCCAGTCTCGGTGACAGAGTGAGACTCCAACTCAAAAAAAAAAAAAAAAAAAAAGAAGATAACGTGTAAACTTACTATGGCAGGTCAAGGCCATCTAAATCTGGTCTCTACCTATCTCTCCTATTAATCCATGCTATGACAACTCTTTATAAGTATACCACCTACGTGTATAGGGTCTGCCCCATTCTTGGTTACAAACAACAGAAACACAATCTATCTTAAGCCAAAGGGAAAATTTATTGGAAAGCTATATAGAATGGACCACAGAACTGAACAGAGATTGGGGAAACAAGCTTATGAAACTGGCAGGGAACAAGGAGCCTCCACAGACTGCACATCAGGGACAATCTCAGGATACTGCTGTTACTACCACCACCAGGCTGTGTGCTGTGCTGCTACTATGCACCCCTACAAGGTAATTCTAACCTTCTCTCTTTTTTTTTTTTTTTTTAGTTGGAGCCTCACTTTGTTGCCCAGGCTGGAGTGCAGTGGCACCACACTCACAGCCACCCCAGTGTCAACCTGCTGGGCTCTAGCGATCTTTCCCCCTCAGCCTTCCAAGTAGCTGGAACTACAGGCATGCACTACCACACCTGGTTAATTTTTGATTTATTGTAGAGATGATGTCTCGCCAAGTTGCCCGGTCTGATCTTGAATCCGTGGGCTCAGGCAATCCTCTTGCCTTGACCTCTCAAAGTGCTAGGATTACAGGCTGGGCCACCGAGCCCGGCCCTAATCTTCTCTTTATATTTGCATCACCATTCCAGATTCACAGGAGAATGCACTGGCTCAGCCTTGGTCACTTAGGGGACCATAACCCCATTCTACCTTCTCATCTCCCCTATTGGGACTGGAAAGTCAGTGTAGGAGACAGACTAAGCTAGTCCTCATAATCCACTCCCTCCCTAGTGTTTGCATCTTGTGTAATGCCCTCCCCTAAGTGTGGATGGGAACTGTGGCTTGTTTCTTTTTTTTTTTGAGTTGGAGTCTTGTTCTGTCGCCCAGACTGGAGTCCAGTGGCCGCTCCCGGCCACCGCAGCCTCGACCTGCTGGGCTCCGGCGATCCTTCCGCCTCAGCCTTCCAAGTAGCTGGAATTACAGGCGCGCGCTACCATGCCTGGCTAATTTTTTTGATTTTATTGTAGAGATAAGGGCTTGCCAAGTTGCCCAGGCGGGTCTCGAACCCGTGGGCTCATGCAATTCACTCACCTCAGCCTCCCAAAGGCGCAGGATTACAGGCTGAGCCACCGAGCCTGGCTTGTTTCTAATCAGTGGAATATAACAAAAGTAATGTAATATCACTTCAATTGAATATGTTGCATTATATAAGATTCTGTCTAATTAGAAGACTCACTCTCATACTCCTAACGGCCTTGAAGAAGCAAGTTTTCATGTTCTGCACTGCCTACAGAGAGGACCATGTGGCAGGAAACTGCAGGCAGCCTCTAGAACAGCCTCTGGCCCAACAGCCAGCAAAACAAAACAAAACAACCCTGAAGTGCTCAGTCCTACAACCCTGAGAAAATGAATTCTGCCAACAATGAGAGTGAGTTCGGAAACAGGCCTTTCTTCAGTTGAACCTCCAGATGAGAACACAGCTTAGCCAACAACTTGATGGAAGCCTGGAAAGACCCTAAAGCAGAGAACCCAGCTAAAATATATCCAGACTCATGACTCACAGAAATTGTGAGATAACAAGCGCATGTTATTCTAAGCTTCTAAGTTTGTAGTAATTAATAAGTTTCTATTACATAGTAATAGAAAACTAATACAGCCAGATACTCACTTTGTCAACTTCCCATCATCCAGAGATGGCCATATGACACAACCTGGCCCAAATTCACTTTTTCTCTCTCTCTCCCAGCTCAATAAGTGACAAGTCGATTTTTTTTTTTCAGTTGCTCAGACCAAGACTTCAATTAATAAATCCTAGGCAAATTAGTAGGATATTTTACTTATCTGGGAGAAAAGTAATAGTCACTAACACTAAGACAATGATAATGGAGATGGAAGAATGTGAATGGACTTTAGAAAGACCTGGGAAGTAGAAACATGACCTGTTACTTGCATCAGGGTGAAGAGAGAGAAAGAAAATACATAAGAATGATCTCTAAGTGTCTGGCTTAGAAAACTGAGGTAGGGAACAGAGGGGAACGAAAAGTGTGAAACAGGTTATAGCTAATTCAGTTTTAGATGTGTTTGCTCTGAAATGTCAGTGAGATACCCAAGTGAAGATGTCCAGTAAGGTATTGGTTACATCAATGTAGAGCTCAAAACCAAAGGACCAGTAATTAGATGTGTAACTCATATAAACTGTTCCACAATCTTAGAATATAAATATAATCGCATTGCTTTTCTTTTTTCTAATTAGTCACTCAGTCTCCTCATATCATATTATCAGGAAGTCTAGCATCTCCTTCTTCATTATCTAAGAACGCCAAGGTTGTTTTATATTCTAAAAGGTAAATATGGTAACTCTCTATTGTTATATAACAAACCAATTCAAAATTTGTAGCTTAAAACAACAAACTTTTATTTATCTGACAACTCTGTGGGCCAACTGGGTGGTTCTTATGGTCTGGTCCAGTTTAGCTGATCACTGCCGGGCTTGTTTATATACCAGCTACTAAGCCTTACCATCCATGAGGCCTGCTTGGACTTCATATGGCAGCAGTTGTGGAGGTCCTATGAACTGAAAGAGACAGCAAGCCTCAATGTGAAAGCAGTTTTCAACTCTCTGTTGGTGCCATTTTGGCAACTGTGTTATTGCCAAATCAAGTCTTTGTCAAAACAAGTCAGTATGGGAAGGCACTAAAGTTATA